TTGAAAGAGGAAATGAATTTCTAAGATTCAAAATATTTTAAGAATAAAACTTTATTTTTTTTTAATTTTTATGCAAACCAGTTTTTGAAGATGAGAAAGGTTCAATGTGTAAGATTAAAAAATAAATATACCCCTATTTAAATTCAAATTAGGAAAAATTTGACATAATTTTTCAAAAATGATTATTTATGAAAGATCAAATATCTTTCTTGAATCTTTTTGAAAAGTTTGATGAACATGTGTAATTTATCCTATCAATGCTTAATGATATGTGCATTGGTTGAGACCTTTGAACGTAAGTAATAGGAAATGAATTTGACTTTATTTAGAATTCTGCTATCTTTAAAGTAATATGAATTAAGTTGTTTTATTTTCTGAATAAAAATGTCTTTGGGAGAAACAGTAAATGCTTTAGTAATCTTGAAAAGCTAGAAATGAAAATGTTGTCTAACTTCTTTTTTCTGGGGAAGAAAAAAGAATATGTGGAAAGATAATTTAGTGATTCCAGAGGCCTAAAAATTAGTAGACATTTGAATGAAATAAATAATAAAAGTTAACTGCAGAATTCCATTACTGTAAGGAGCATTTGCCATAGATATGCTGGGACATGTGAAACTCACTAAGTTGCTGGCCATAAGGAACAGCAGCCATTGAACTGCTTAGTCATCTCTGCTTGCAATTGATAAAGAACTGTAAGGACCCACTTGAAGCAAAGTGTGAAAGATGATATATCAAGAACTATGTAATGTTTTGAACAACCAACAATAAAAAAAAATAAAATAAAAAAAAAAATAAATAAATATAAAATTTTTTTAAAAGAGAAAAAAAAAAAAAAAAAAGAACTGTAAGGGGCACTAGCCATAGGTATGCTTAGCAAAGACTGGTTACAATTTGATAGGGAGCACAGCTCCATGGACATGCCAAAGAACATACCCAGTTGCAATTACATCACATCACTGGACATAACCAATGGACATTGACTTTCATTGAGTGAAACCAATCACCAACATACACCACCAACTTGGAACTGTATTTAAATTGCTGGTTCTGCCACATTGAGGAGTTTTTGCTCCAAGGACATATGTGAGACTGGCTGCCTTCCTGTCTGTCCCTGGACTGACTCTACCATTTGCTGACATCCAGCCATTGGCTGGAGAGAGCCACCAGACATGGACAACATCTGCTCTTTGGCTAAGAGAAGTCACGTGGCATTGGAGGAATTTTGGGTTTCATGGTTGCTATAGGATTTTGCGATTTACTTGTAGTGTTTAATTAGTGTGCATTGAATTCTAGTTGGGGTGCTCCAGCACACCCGACATTTTTGCATTAATTCTTTATATTTGATGATTGGTGTGATTGAATATATGCTTGCATTTAAAGATAATCCACCTCCAAGTAATTATTAATAGTGCTGCTCATGACAATTACCAAGTTATGGCAGCCTCCCTCCTAAACTGAGCAAAAACAAGTGAGTGGGGCCAGGCACAGTGGCACATGCCTGTAATCCCAGAGGCTCAGGAGGCTGAGGCAAGAGGATCCAGAGTTCAAAGCTAGCCTAAGCAACCAGAAGTGCTAAGCAACTCAGTGAGACCCTGTCTCTAAATAAAATACAAAATAGGGCTGCGGATGTGGCTCAGTGGTTTAGTTCTTGTGAGTTCAATTCCCAGTATCAAAAAACAAACAAAAAGCAAGTGCTTGCATGGGGCTTTCTCTAGATGAAGTAAACAGTTACTGAATTTCACATCAAGCCTTTTTCTGAAGACTGCATGGAGATATCACAGAACAAAATGCTTTGACTATGGATGAGTAGTTTTATGACCAATAACTTGTAGTACATGGTGTTTTACATTAGAGAAAAGGGCAATCATTTTTCATGCTTCAGAGTGAAAATTGATTACTCTTCTGGAGTCTGATCATAAATCATTTTTCTGACTATCTATCTTACTGCAATTTCATACAATTGGCAAAAAGCAGCTTTTTAAATCTGTATTTAAAGAATTAGACTAAAACCACTGTTGCAATCAGATGAAAAAGACTGGTGAGCTGATAGTTTTATGAAGAAAATGTAAATTTAAAATGGGTTATCAGGGCTGGGAATGTGGCTCAAGCGGTAGCGCGCTTGCCTGGCATGCGTGCAGCCCGGGTTTGATCCTCAGCACCACATACAAACAAAGATGTTGTGTCTGCCAAAAACTACAAAATAAATATTAAAAAAAATGAAAAATAAATAAAATAAAATGGGTTATCGCATAAGAGCTGGGCACAATGGTGCACAACTGTAGTCCCAGTGGCTCAGGAGCCTGAGGCAGGAGGATTATGATGAGTTCAAAGCCAGCTCAGCAACTTAGCAATTCCCTAAGCAATTTGGTGAGACCCTGTCTCAAAATGAAATATAAAAAAGAGCTAGGGATGTGGCTCAGTGGTTAAACACCCCTGGGTTCAATCCCTGGTACCAAATATATATGTATATTTGATATCAGGGATATATATATATATATATATATATATATATATAAAACCAGGGATATAAATAAAATCCATTTTAATTGCTTAAGTTTTAATTTATAAAAGAAATAGTAGCACTCTAGAAGCTATTATTTCCCTTGAAATGATATAGTCTAGGTAGTTACATACAAAGGATGGCTCAATTGTAGAATGAACCAGGAATGCTGGAATTCAAATAAAAATAAGAATAAGAAAGCTGAGTTACCTCAGCAACCTCCATGAACAGGCACTGTGATGGACACTTTGCATATGTGATCCTATAGGAATGAGTATTTGTAAGAAAGACCACTTTTCTTAAATAGTTCTTCTGAAACAGCTAAGCAGAGCTTCCAAAATATTCTTTATTTGAATACCATACGTAATTGAACATAATCTTTATAATATAGTGAATTTGTCACTCTTCAGTGTTTCTCAGTCAGCATTTCCTCTCCACGTGAATATAACTGAGCATTTCTTGAAGTTAAAATCTTTTTAAATGTGTCTGCAGAACTGAAATTGGCAATAACTTCACCATTTATCATGCTTAATTATGTTTCATATTCCACTTCCTACTCATCTCTCTGCTTAAGAAACAATCATTTTCCTTCTGTGCCCCAACAACGTGCTCCTCATAAAGATCAAATACAAAATATTTACCAACTTACATTTGTAAAGACCAATCAAAATCCTCAGTCCTCCAATCCTTACCAGCATGACTGACCTGCATTTGTCAGGAAATCTCCATCCATTTTCCCCACCTAACCACTTCCAATCCTAGCCCCAATCCTAGTGCATTATTATATTGGTGTGTAGGATTTGCACTTTGGGCATGTGCTATAGACCTGAGTCTCAGGAACGATGGCTCCAGCAGCTGTAATGGGTTGCTGTTAAATAAAGTCATTTTTACTTTTCATATCATAGAACTATTGTATAAACCTTTCTAGCTGATGTCATAAACTGAGAATGAGGTGTACTATTTTCTGAAAGCCAACCTCTATTGCTTAAATAACCAGAGCAATTACAGAAATAAGACTCTATGTTCAGAATATCTGAGGCAGTGCAATGCTGTAGAAATAGTGTAGGTTTTAATCTCTAATAGGTCTGGCAGTTTTCCTACTTGGGTGATCTCAAATACATTATTTAGTCTAATTTACCTCTACTCCTTCATCTGTGATATAGGGATAAAAATACTCCATGGGGTTTATTTGAGCTGTAAATAGGATAACATGTAGAAGGCTTAACAGAGTGACTGGCTGACACCTAGGAGGTACCTAATAAACAGCAGCTATTATCATTCCTCTCAAAGCTTTCTCAATAACCTCTGGTTTACCTATGAAAGTATGTAATTTATACTAGAATATCTGCTTTGCATTAGCAGTTCTTCGGTCTTGTTCGTAAGGGCAAATCTATCACTGATGTGCTTGCCGTTAGTAAATGGTTGCTTTTATGAATTGCAGTCTTCTGCCAAATGGTTGCTAGATTCTCAGCTTATTCTGATGAGCTCTCTTCCTGACCACACTGCAATTGCAGCAAGACCTTTCTTCTGACTCTGCTGAGTACCTGGATTCTAACAGACATAGAATTCTAGGACAGATGTGGCTTCTCTTCTGTTCTGAGTCTAGAAAAAAAATTATGCTCATTTATATATTTTTAACCACTAACTACAAAGCTCCTGTACCATTGTTATAGTATAGTCTGATACAACTCATTGAAAAATTTCTTTTTGGAGGGGGATTTTTGAAACTTACTTAAATAAAAAAGAGCTTTAAACCAGATATACAACTTTATTTCTAGCCAGAAAAACAAAGTCTATTTTCAAGAATTTACTGAATTTACCTTATACTTATTGGCCCTCAAAAAGCCAGTGATAACACCAAATGATAGCTATGTGACCATAGGGAAAATAATTAGCTTCATAGAATATCAGTTTCCTCATCTGTACAATGGGATAATAAATGCATCTACTTTTTTGGGTGCTGGTGAAAAATAAATGAGACAATGTTTGCACAGTGCCTACAATAGTGCCTGACACTTGGGTTTCAATATATGTGAGCCATTGTTTCTTTTTAAGACATTTCATTATTGGTAGCATATTTTGAAAAGTTAAACACTGCTGGGTTAATGGATAAATCCCAGATGCTTCTCTATTTCACATCTTAGGAGTTACTAGTGATGCAATCCTTGGGCAATGAAGATGAGAAATCTGTTCTTCACTTTCTTCTATTTTTTCAAGAAATGTAGCTTAGCTATTATTTATATTTCAGAAATATTAAATATCCCAAAATTTAAAATATGTATTTGTATTTCTGTATGGTTTCTAGTCCTTGGCAGATTTTTATGGGATACTTAGATGATTGGAGTGCCCTCTCAATGTCCTTACTTTTATCCCCTGATGCTTTTGCCAGGAAGAACAAGCTGGGTGAAATTCATCACAGACCAGATTGATTTTGCTCTGTATCTCTCTCTTTCTTTCTAAGAATTTGAACACTTATTCTATTTATCTATTTTTTAATACAGTGGTGAGGATCAAATCCAGTGCCTAACCCATGCTAGGCAAGCACACTACAACTGAGTTACAGTGACAGCCCAGGTAATTCTTTCATTCTATATACATTTTGATTTTCTGTCTCTGCAACCCGCACCCTACCGGACATTGTCATGGTATGATCAAAAGTCAGTTACACGAAACAGTTATACTGAGTAATTTTAGCATAGATGGGATCTGAAGGAGGGAGTGGGCATGTTGTAAGGAGAGGCAGCTTGCATTCCATGCACAGGAGTTTGGACATTAGTCTGTAGGTTATAGGAAATTATTTAAGGGTCTTAAGTAGTGGAGCAAAAGGGTTTATTCTGTTGCATATAGGATGGACTAGAGGTAGTAAAACAAGACAGAAAAAATCACCTGGGAATAATCCAATCAGACATGATAAGGACAGTAAACAATAAAATGAGGGAAGAACATTATCAGAGTTTGACAACATAAAATGGATTCAAAGTGGAATAAAAAACTCAAAGAAGGGATAATCCAAAGGACATGAGAACAATTGAAGATTTGAGAAATTTATGGACTTAAACATTCTAATAATAATTTCACACACTGCTCATTTTACCCTTGCTCTTGTGTCTTTCCCTAACTTGTGATTTGTGGGTAGTGACTGTCCAATATTTTAGCATAATTTCCTTCTTCCAAATTAAATTGCAAATAATCAAAATCATGAATCATAAAATAGGTAAAACAGTATTTTCTGTACAAACTGATTTTATGCACTGACATTCATAATGTTTTCTAAACAGCCCATCAACAAAAATGTATATTAATGTTTTGTTGGTTTCTACTGTGTTAAAATTTTGGATGTATTACATTTGCATGTGTTATCTGGTGAGTTTTTAATTAGTTTTAAAAATAGTTGTTTAAATATATTTTAAACACATGTAACCAATGCTTGCTGAGCCCCAGAAGCATCTCTGAGAAGTGTCAGTCTGTGAACCACTAATGGAGAGAAATATGGGCATCCAGCCGAACCTCTCCTCCACGTCCCAGCACATAATGAGATGCTATTCTCCCTTCCCTGAGTACATTTATGCCAGCCCACGCTCCTGGCAAAGGAGCAGGCGTCAGGCTCCATTGATCTTAGACACACAGAGTCACTTATCCATATGCTCAGGGTGTTTGACGCCGTGTCCCTGCCCAGTCACAAATTAGTCACTTTCCGCTAGTGACTGTGAATATAAAGGAGGCATTTTCTGAAATATGGATCTTGTTTGAACAATTAGAGATGAGGAAGCCAATAACCATTTTTCTTCATTTATTATAAAGGAAATAAATTTGCTCTCTAGCCTCTATATGTGGTAATGAATATATTCTATACTTATACTTACTCTCAAAGCCTCAATTCCAAAATAAGGAGAGCAGATAAAAATAGAGTGAAAAGATTGCCTCCTTTTCTCTTCTTCCTTTTTTTCATTGTAAGAGGAATGCTGTGCCCAATTTATAGAATTGCAGAATCTGAGAGTCAGGGAGAAACTTGGAAATAATGCATGCTGATGTCTTGCCTCTACAAGAATTCCCCAAATAGCATTTCTCCTGGCCTCTGATTGAACATTCTAATGAAAGGAGCTTACTACTTCATCACACCATTCTTGGAACACAGGAATTTATAGAAAGTTCTCCCTTAAATATCCCTTATATTGCATGCCCATGATTTAGTTGATCATTAGTTGTTGGACATTCGTGTTGTTTCCAACCTTCTGTATAACAAGTAATATTGCGGTAAGCATCTTTTTAAAGTATATCCATAATCCTGGGTTTATTTTATTATAGGAGATTTCTATCAATAAGCTTGCTGAATCTAAAGTACGTGTGTGAATTTTTAAAAATTTTAATAGAAAATGTAGAATGACTTTTCAAAAAGGTTGTTACAATTCTATCCTGCTAGTATTTGACAGTGCCTATTTTTTCCGTTTTATTTTATCAAATTTGTAAACTTTGGGAAATCCAATGACTGAAGAAAGTTATCTCATTATGGTCTTCATTTTCATGCCATGATCACTGCTGAGGTTAAACATCTTTTCATATGTTCATTATCTGTTTCTTCTTCTGTGATTTTGCTGTTTTCGAGCTGTTTGGCCATTTGGTTTGGGATGCTTTACATCTTCTGAAAAGGATTTTAGTGGATTAAGGGCTGACTTTTCTATTGCTTCATGGAACTTGCTTTCCATCTTGGTGTGTTGGGACTGCTACTGCAAAATGCCATGAAGTGGGAGACTTCAAAACAACATAAGTTTATTTCTCACAGTTCTCAAGTCAGGAAAATGTAAGATCAAAGAGCTGGTGGATTCCATGTCAGGTGAAGGCCTGGCTTTCTCATCTCTTGGTAGAAGAGAAAACAGAGCTTCCTCAAGTCTCCTTAATAAGGACACTGATCCCATTCTTAAGGGCTCCACTATTACAACCTAATTCCCTTCCACAAGGCCCAGCATTCAGTATGATCACCCAAATGGTTAGAATTTCAAATGAATTTTAGGGGAACACACTCAGTCATTGGCAATTTCTAACTTCTAACTATACAGCCTTACCTTTTCTGAACAAATTCACTTCTCAGTGATTCTATTCAGATATAATTCTTGCCCATAAATGAATATATTACCCTAGAAATAATTAGCACAGTGCAGGGCCTTGCTACTTGAAGTGTGGTCTATTGACCAAGGGAACCAGATCACTTGGAGTTGATTAGAATTTGAAGCCCAACTTCAAAAATGTTAAATCAGAATCTTAAATTTTACAAGATACCCTGTTAATCTTCATGCATATTAAAATTTTAGAAATACTGTGTTATAACATAAAGGGTTTTTAACTCTTGCAGCTGGCTTCAATATTTACATTAATATTAGCAAAGTTTTTAGATCATAGTCACTAAGCATCCTATTTTGTTATCAAGTAAACTCTTGTTATTAAACTGTTTCTCCAGTTTATTAATGAACATTTTGTACCTAAGTGCAAGATTTTCCCATTATTTTCATTAAATTTCATTGCATTTATTTCAGGTAATGATTTGGATTCATGATAATCTCTTTAAATATTGAATCTGCATTTTAATGTAAAGACTCATTATTTATATTTGGGGGAAGCTAATAAAAATCTTTGAATAAAGTTGCATGGTAAAGTCCCAGGTAAGTCCTTTTATACTTAGTTTCCTTTTTCTTACATTAAATCCAGTTAGGATGAATAGTAAGATAATCTGTAAGGGGAAAGAGAAGGAAGGAGATGTCATAATGTACAATATTTAACTGAAGATAGTTTTGTATGTGAGAACAATCTGCTGCTGATCTCTTCTCCCCACCATCTGTTTGTAGGACAGATCCAGGCATCAAATCCCAGGAGCAATGTAAGGTTATTCTGCTGTCCCAGGAGAAACTTAGGGTTATGCTGCTGACCCAAAACAGTGATGACCCTGGCTCCCTACAATGACTAAACTCACTGAGCAGTGCTTGAGAACCAAAGACAGTTCCTCTTTGAGAAATACATCCAATTTTCAGTTTGGACAAGATGGGTGGACTTGTTCCTCCTTGTTCATACCACTAAATATGCAACTATAAGCCCTGTAAATTACCAAACAGATGGCCAAATGAGAACTCTGAATGGTAGAAAGAGAAAGGTAAACTTGCTTGGGACCCTAGGCAGGAGGAACAGCACAGTGGCTGGGCATTTTGTGGGCACTATTCCTCAGAGGACAGCAGCCTTGACTAATTTCCTGACTTTCAACCTAGCAAAAGAAGGTGGCCCAGGTAGACACATTCCTTTCCTATGTCTAAAGAGAGTCCTTCTATTGAAAGAGGAGTTGGCAAAGATCTCTAATTCTGTGGGCTCTCTCTTCATTCTTTTGTTTCCTTTGCTGGGCAGAAGGTTTTAAATTTGATGCCATTCCACTTATTGACTCTAGGTCTTATTTCTTGAGCTTTAGCAGTCTTGTTAAGGAAGTTGGTGCCTGTGCCAATATGTTGGAATGTTGGCCCTATGCCTTCTTCTAGAAACTGTGGGGTTTATGGTCTAACTCCTAGGTCTTTGGTCCACTTTGAGTTGATTTTTGTGCAGGGTTAGAGATAGGGATCTAATTTCATTCTTCTATATATTGATATCCATTTTTCCAGCACCATTTATTTAAGAGACCATCTTTGGCACTTTCACTAAGGATCAGATTCTGTATCTGTGGATTTTTCTCTGAGTCTTCTATGCCATTGGTTTTCATATCCATTTTTATGCTAATACCATGCTATTTTTATTACTGTAGCTCTGTAGTATAATCTGAGATCAGGTATTACAATGCATCCAGGAATTTCTCAGGATTGCTTTGGCTATTCTGGATCTTGCACTCTTCTATATAAATTTTAGGACTGTTTCTTCTAGTTCTGTGAAAAATATCATTGATATTTGGATGAGGATTGCATTGTATCTATAGATCACTCGGAATTATGGCCATTTAGACAGTATTAATTCTGCCTATCCAAGAACATGAGAGGTCTTTCCATCTTCTGAGTTCTTTAATTTCTTTCTCAGTGTTCTATAATTTTCACTGTCGAGGTCTTTCACTTACTTGGTTGGATTTATTCCCAAGGTTTGTTTGTTTGAGGCAATTGTGAATGGAATTGTTTTCCTCATTTCTTTTTCAGCAGACTTGTTATTGGAGTATAGGAAAGCTATTGATTTTTGTATGTTGATCTGTATCCCACTACTTTGCTGAATTTGTTTATCAGCTCTTTTTTGGGGGGGAGGAGGGTCTTCTAAGTATAGGGTCATGTCATCAGCAAACAGATAATTTATTTATTTATTTTTTTTTTACAATTTGTAGTCCTTTAATTTCTTTCTTTACCTGATTGTTCTGGCTAGCATTTCAAGAACTATATAAAATAGGACTAGTGAGAGTGGAAATTCTTGTCTCATTTCTGATTTTAGAAAAAAAGTGCTTTTTTTTCCTCTTCAGTATGACGACGTCAGCTTTGAATTTGTCATGTATATCTTTTATGATATTGAGGTAAGTTACTTCTATGCTAGTTTCTTCAGTATTTTAACATAAATGGGTACTGAACTTTGTT